ATGAAACTTTATTTTGATAGAAATATTCAATTGAACTTTGTCCGAATTTTTCTCCTCCTTCAGAAGATTTCAGAAACCACTGTAATGCTTTCTTTTCATCTTTTGTTGTTCCAATTCCATTTGAGTAACAATATCCGAGAATATATTGTCCTAAATGGCTTCCTCCTTCAGCTAGTTTCAGATACCATTGGAATGCCTTCTCATAATCTTTTATGGTTCCAATTCCATACATGTAACAATATCCAAGTTTTAATTGTCCTGAATGATCTCCTCCTCTTGCTAATTTCAGGTAACACTGGAATGCTTTCCCTTCATCTTTTATGGTTCCTATTCCATATTGATAACAACATCCCAGATTGTATTGTCCCATAAGGTTTCCTCCTTTAGCTGATTTCAGGAACCATTGAAATGCTTTCTCTTCATCTTTTATGGTTCCTATTCCATTGTGATAACAATCTCCAAGATTACATTGTGCTTCACAGTTTCCCCCTTCAGCTGATTTAAGATACCATTGGAAGGTTTTTATTTCATCTTTTGTTGTTCCATACCCATTTTCATAACAATATCCAAGATTATTTTGTCCATTAATGTTTCCTCCTTCAGCTGATTTCAAGTACCATTGGAATGCTTTCTCTTTATCTTTTATGGTTCCAATATTATTGTCATAACAATATCCAAGATTGTATTGTCCCATGTGGAATCCTCCTTCAGCTGATTTCAGGTACCACTGGAAGGCTTTCTCTTCATTTTTTGTGGTTCCAATTCCTTTTTGATAATGGCATCCAAGAACATATTGTCCCACAGAATTACCCCCTTCAGCTGATTTCAGGAACCACTGGAATGCTTTCTCATAATCTTTTATGGTTCCAATTCCATATATGTAACAGTTTCCAAGATAATATTGTCCTGCATGGTTTCCCCCTTCAGCTGATTTCTGGTACCACTGGAATGCTTTTCCTTCATCTTTTGTGATTCCGATCCCATTGTCATAAAAATATCCAAGATTGTGTTGCCCATTACTGTTTCCCCCTTCAGCTGATTTCAGGTACCATTGGAATGCTTTTCCTTCATCTTTTATGGTTCCTGTCCCGTATTGGTAACAACATCCAAGACTGTATTGTCCCATATGGTTCCCCCCTTTAGCTGATTTCAGGTACCACTGGAATGCTTTACCTTCATCTTTTGCGGTTCCAATTCCATTTTGATAACAATATCCAAGCTTGTATTGTGCCATAAGATTTCCTCCATCAGCTGATTTCTGGTACCACTGGAATGCTTTTCCTTCAGCTTTTATGGTTCCAATCCCGTTGTCATAACAACATCCAAGATGGTATTGCCCCATAAGGTTTCCCCCTTCAGCTAATTTTAGATACCACTGGAATGCTTTCTCTTCATCTTTTGTGGTTCCAATCCCTTGTAAATAAAAATTACCGAGATCCAATTGTGCATCACAATTTCCCTTTTCAGCTAATTTTAAGCATTGAAGAAATTTATTTTCATTGGAACTTATATTTCCCATTTACGTGATTATTTGTTCAGTATATTAAATTTATAATAAATTTATTGAATTTAAAAGTTCTTTTTTTTTTTTTATTAAAGTTTAAAACGGAATATATATTTTATAAGTGATAATTAATTAATTATATAAAAAGGTCAAAGATAAACTTTTAATTTAATATTTTATTTATTTTGTATGTTTTAGAAACGTATTTATTTGCATATAAGAATATGAAATTATAAATAATAATATTCAATTTTGTTTTTGTATATTCACGATTCATAGATTATAAATATTAAATTTTCCATTGTAAAATTTTGTATTATTGACTCTAAGATTAGATGAAAACTATTTTAGAAATCAAAAAAATATTACAATCTGTTCATACCGATGCAGATTTATTATTTATGATTTCTAAAATTGGAAATATAATTAAAAAAAGGTGCACGCATGATCTTCATAAATGCATTACTGTAATTACTGTACTACTCGTGGAATGAATGTTTTCTATTATAACTTCATTGATACTTGGCAATTTATTTGTACGAATGATAGATACGTTAATAGATATTGATATGAACTATTTTTTAATGATTAATTCGTAAAAAAGGAAAGATCCTCATTAATAAATTTGGGTAATAATATGTTATAATCACATGGAATGAAAATTCTATGACTAAACATATGGCAAAAGTAATGGTTATTTTTGACAACAACCTGACTGTTAAAGATTAGATGTATCACAAAAGTTTAAAAAAAACTCATAAATATCATATTTGCTGAACAACTTAACTTAGACTTAAAGGTAATTTACTTTGATGAAAATATTAAAAATATACACTCTTGAGAAAAATGTTTATATACGTGTCTTTGTGTTTGTAAGTTAATATTTCGAAAATTAATATCCGAGCACTTTCATACTTGTTAAACAATCTCTTCTATTATTAAATCGTTTGTTGTCGCCTCTAAAAGGCTTTTGATTGGTGGTTTCAGATTCAGTGATACCATTTTTTGTAACGTGATTTTGTAACAACTACGTTCTGAGATAATTGTGGTTAATATCTTTCCAAGTAGTAAAAGGTAACAGGTCTCTTACGACCGAACAAAGCCTCTAGAGAGAAGCTTTGGTAATCCTTGGCATAAAATTTTTCTAGATCAAAGGATTTACGAAGGATAGAAATTGATGTTACAAACAGGTAATCCTTGAACATTTTGTGAGAAAAAAAAAATTCTTTGAGCGATTAATTAAAACTGTTCAGAAGGTATGAAAGTACTTGAATATTTGTTTTTGCTTACAACAGATTGAAAGATTATTTTTTCTTCAATTACAAATACTCACGAATTTTTTTACACTTCCAGAACTTCGTGGCGTAATTTTAATACATTGGTCAAAGTAAAATGCCCTTAAGCAACTAATTAAAACCGTTCGGAAGGTATGAAAGTAATTGAATATTTGTTTTCGTTAAGCTGACTTACGAACGGATTGAAATACGAATTTTTCTTTAATTACAAATACTCGCGAATTTTTTACAGTTCCATTTTACATCCAGAATTTTGAGTCGTAATTTTAATACATTGGTCAAAGTAAACTGCCTTTGAACGACTAATTAAAACTATTCAGAAGGTATGAAAGTAATTGAATATTTGTCTTCTCTAAGCTGGCTTACAAATGGATTGAACTATGAATTTTCCTTTAATTACAATTACTCACGAATTTTTTCACACTCCCATTTCATTTCTAGAAATCTGTGACGTAATTTCAATACACTGCCCTTGAGCGACTAATTAAAACCGTTCAGAAGGTATGAAAGCAATTGAATATTTGTTTTCACTGGGCTGGCTTACGAACGGATTAATTGCAAACACCCGCGAGTTTTTTTACAGTTCTATTTTACATCCAGAACTTAGAGACGTATTTTCAAAGAAAACCGCCTTTGAGCGACTAATTAAAACTGTTCAGAAGGTATAAAAGTACTTGAATATTTGTTTTCGCTAAGCTGGCTTACGAGCGGATTGAAACATGAATTTTTCTTTAATTACATATACTCGCGAATTTTTTTTACAGTAGAATTAGTTTAATAAATACGGTAAATGATACGATATACAGTATGAATAAGTTTCTATATTTTATAATTGTTTTGAATTAGAAACCTGTTTTTTTATTTTAATTTTTTCAGTTGTATATACGAATTCTGTTTATTTACGTTGTAAAAAAAATTAAATGATTCATATACTGTAAGTAAAAATAATAAAAATAAAATACAATGCCATTATTAATTATTATTTTAATATTCTCTTGTATTTATTAAACTCATTGTGCCAATCTTCCCACTATTGTCAAGTTACTTAGAAAATAAAAGCATACGTTCTTTATTTAATAACCACAAAAAATCGATAATTTATCATAATAATATAATAAAGTACTTAAAGAATTCATTATTTTAACATTCATCATATATTTTGTGTGCAAGTATAATTTGAGATAATAAGTTTATTCACAATATTGCCATCAAGGTATAGATAGATTAATATTCATTCTTAGCTTGATAGCTTACCACCTCCAGCTAAAGAAAGTTTATGTATTGAAAAAACTTAAGTAGTCATTTCTAAACTTACGAAGAATGTTCTATACCAAAATTAATATCGAAAAAGTAATGCAAAAAAATTCTATCGGTGGAGGATATTTTAATTTTTTAACTAATGGACTTTTCTAAGATTATTTTAATGATAGAGTGGAGAAATTGCATGTAAATAGAATATGCTTTGTAAAATTGACAATAATAATAACAATAATAATGAGGAAGGAAATGGAAAAAAAGAAATCACCCAAATAACAATTCTCAATACTCTCAATTTATAAATATACAACTTTAGGTCATTAAATTGTCAATCGGTGGAAAAACCTTTATCATCACCACAAATTCTACAGTATTAAATCTTTATCTTATCATTGGGAAGAAATTTATAGATGAAGTTTAATTGACAAAGAATTGAAGTAGAGAATGTGAAAATTGATCATTTCTGGTCCTGCGGATAAATTGTTGATATTTAATTTAAAGGTTAAATTTTTAGTTCCCAAATTCATTTAATGCACTTTGATTTCTTTTATTTCTTGTCGTTGTATCTATTTCTTTGTTTATTTTTTCATTTTTATTTGTTCATTTTTTTAATTGTTCATTATTTTATTAAGTCGTTAAATATTTTGATATTTAAAAAATGTTTGTATAAAAAAAAACTTGCATTATAATATTATAACTAGGAATAAAAGTATTAATTTGATATTAGAATCAAAATACATACGGTACATATATAGCATAGTTAGTTGCATTTACAAAATATTGTAGTACTGGATGGATTATAAGTGATTCCAATAGAACTTTATTTTTATTTATACTGTGAAAGACTGATGTAGTATTGAATACGTTCTTTGCATTTTTAAAATTAAGATAAATTAGAAAATAATTTGTAAAAACTAAACAATACAACTATAAACCATTTATACTTACAACCATAACATGACGTCTGTTGCAAATATCATCTCTGTATTGTTTTCATAGTCAAATGTGGCATTGCAAAGACACTTCTTATACTCATTTAATGAATTCTGTTATTGATTAATAAAAAAATCAAATATATATAAATAACATTTTCATTAAAATAAATGAGCATTTGCACTTACAGTTTCTAATAGTACACTGAATAGATCTTCAATTTCAGTTGATAAATTATAATGCGGACATTCAACACTTGAATTTAAATAGTTCCAATCTTCTTGCTTAATCAATTCTGGCTTCTTGATTTTTGATCCAATGCGTATGATTTCTAAACATGACGGACTACATGCAAGTATACAAATTACAAAGTCAAATCTGTTAGATCAAAGACATGAAAAAAAGAAAAAAAATAATATAAATCTTACTGTGATTTGTGTAGATTTTTAGGGCCACAAATTATTTTGTCAATAGATTTTCTGGAAGGCAATACCCAAATGTTATCTGGACTGTCTTTATCAGGATACTTTAAGTGACTTTGGACTGACATCTTTCCTTGATAATTTAATATTTGGATTAATATTTCAGTTATTATAATCTACCTCATCCTCATCAGAATCTAAATCTGACTCATCTTTATCATGGTTCGAATCTGTCTCATCCTCATTATGATCTGAATTTGACTCACTATCATCTATGTTTTCTGCTCTATCAATGGTTCTCGCTCATTTTGAAACTTTAAGATTATCCGAAATATAATTTTTCATTAGGAATGAAATTACAACATAATAAATAAATATATATATACGTATATCTTTTCTTCCTGATCCCTCTTCTTCGAGAACAGCTCTACAACAGTATTTATATTACCTGCTTTTCCAATTATATTACTATTGCCAATTATATTCCCATTAATTGTGTTAACCAGATAATGGAAGTGTGAAAGCCTGTGTAAACATTTCTCATCCCATTCTTTCATCTTTTTTCAGTCAGTCTGGAGACCCTAGTATAGAGATTTGGAACCAGTATTAATTAGTATTCTTTCACATTCAATATCAATTTTTCATCCCACTAGAACACATAATAGCCAAGTGGAGCAAAGACATATGTGTCCCAGTAGGTCCAATACTAGATCAATGAGAGGCTTTTGACATTAGACAAACAGTAGATTACCCATGCACCAGCATCAGTTTTGTCACTTGACAGATTTCTGACTCAGCAATTTTTGAGAGAGCCTTTTGTTATGTCACTTCATCTTTCAAACAAATAAAAAAGAACCTTTACATGCCTTTTTATATCTATTAAGAAGCACTTGTGCACTTTTCTGCCTGTTACCTTGTTCAGAGTCAACAATTGATTGGAGAGATCTTAAGTACAAATCTATTTTTGTGCCAAATGGTTCTAGATCACAATTGTGCACCTGGTGAAAAAATAATATAATTATAGAAAGAATTATTTTTGCTATATAAATCTAGATATAAAAATAAATATCTGTTTAAACCAGAATATAAATGAAAAGAATATAATTATTTAATTAAAAAACTCTTGCCCAAACTAAGTAAAATATTAAATAACAATTATACTATATCTGATTATAAGATTAAAAAATACTCTATATGCAACATCATATGATACATCAGCAATGGTAACTGGAAATGAAAAAATAAATAAAAGAAGAATAAAGAAGAATACTGAAATGGTAAAAGTAAGATTTTTTTTTATAATAAATGTAATAATACAGTTATAAGACATATTATTAATATAATTTATTTTAAATAGAAAAAGGAAAAGAGAAAGAAAGCAACAGTATACCTATTAAAAAGAGGTGATGAAAAATTAAATATATATCCTAAAAGGATATATTAAAAATATTAGATATTAGCAGTTACCACTCAGAGGAGTGGAAAATAACAGATGACAAATATGAATATGAAGGTGCAATATTTACAAATTATATTCATTTCACTTTGTTTATAATTAAATTAATTTATTAAATTTAAAAACAAGATATCATAGATGTTGATAATAACAATAATAATAATTACAGTAGTTATAATAATCATAATAATGATTATGATAATAACAATTGTAATAATGATTACAATGACAACAATAATAATGATAATGTAATAATAATTATGATGATAATAATCATAATAATAATAATAATAATGAAAATAATAATAATAATAATAATGATAATAATTATAATAACAATGATGATGATAATAATAATAACAATAGTAATAATAATGATTATAATAACAATAATAATGATGATAATGACAACAGTAGTAGTAATATTAGAAATAGAAGTACACTTCCCTAGTAAAAGTATTTGTGGAATGATAAAATTTAAAAATCATTACTAAAATTAAAATGCCAATTGTGGCATAATGAGTAATCTAAATGGTACAAATTTTTTTTTTATCAGATTTCCCTAAACTAAAGCTATTATATAATACATTTTGTAATAAAATCAAACACCTATACATAGAGATATTATACTTAAAATGAAATTGACAAAAAATAATAAATTTATTCTTAGAACATTACCTATACCATATTTGATAGGTATTAAAGATAGATATCAACTATCTTATATGAAATTGTAGCTAAAAGTAATATCTACAATTTTAATTATTAACATTTTTTTCGGTACTTGATAAAAATTTTGACTTCACTTAGATGTGAAAAAAATGACCGAAATTTAATAAAATTTTAAAAAAATAAAAAAAATTCGAAAATAATTATATCAATCATTTATATTTAAAAAACTTCATTATTTATTAACTTAATAATAAATGTGATATTAAGTTATCTTAAAGCCTAAAATATGAAATATCATTTGTAAAAATTTCAGCCTTATATATTGAGAATTGAAAAAATAATATATAATTAAACTTTAGAGTATAATTTTGAAATGTTCGATATTTAACCATTAATATTAAACTCAATTTTTAATTTAAAAATTTTAAACTTTAACTGTAATTAGTACTATTTTTATTGTTATATTAATAGATAAAGAAGTATTTATATATAGTTCCAATTGATAAATATTTTTCAGATTTTTTTTTTAATTTTTTAAAAATGATCGATATGAATTTACTACATTAAAAATTTGAAAATAATTACAAAACTTTTGTTTTAATAATAAAATGGTAAAAGTTAAACTAAGTAATATTAAAGATAAAAATTAAATATATCTGTCATAAAAGTTTTAAAATTTTTTAATAAAAATTAAAAATATAATGATTGTTTAAATTTTAAATAAATTTTTTTAATTTTTTAAAATTCATATTGATCATTTTTAAAAAATCAAAAAAAAAATCTAAAAAATAATTACCAATCGGAATTATATATAAAAACTTCTTTATTTATTAATATAATAATAAAAATGATATTAGTTACAGTTAAAGTTTAAAATGTAAAATATCTACTATAAAAATTTCAGATTTTTAAATTGAGAATTGAGTTTAATATTAATAGTTAAATATTGAATATTTCAAAATTATACTCTAAAGTTTAATCATGTATTATTCTCTCAATTATCAATATATAAGGATGAAATTTTTATAAAAAATATTTTATATTTTAAGCTTTAAAGTGATTTAATATTATATTTATCACTAAGTTAATAAATAATCAAGTTTTCAGGTACAAATAATCAATATAATTATTTTTTAATTTTTTTTATTTTTTAAAAATTTTATTAAATTTTGATCATTTTTATTCACGTCTAAGTGAAATTAAAATTTTATTAGGTATCGAAAAAAGTGTTAATAATTAAAGTTGTAAATATTATTTCTGGTTACAATTTCATATAAAATAGTTGATATCTATTTTTAATATCTATCAAATGTAGTATAGGTAATGATCGAAGAATAAATTTATTATTTATTTGAAGTGTAATATCTCTATATATAGATATTTAATTTTATCATCAAAATATATCATATAATAGTCTTAATTTAGAAAAATCTAATAAAAAAGTTTATACAATTTAGATCACTTATTGTGTCATAATTAGTATTTTAATTTTAGTAATTATTTTTAAATTTTATTATTCTACAAATACTTTTGTATAAGGAATGTAGTATTACAGTTGCTACTACAGTACTACAGCTACTACTACAGCAAGTAAAAGTAGAAGTACTCAAATACCTACAATTTCTATTTATATTAAGGACAAATGGCAGAGATCTGATTTGGTAAGATCAATAATTATAATATATTTTTATACCTATCAAATATAATATTAATAAATAATATCAAATGATATTTTATAGTTAAAGGAGCTATTATACAAAAGAATTGATTCACGATTGATTTTTTGTATAAATTACTAAAAAATTTCAAGTTTAGAATTAAATCTTCATAATATATGCTAAACAAAAATGAAACAAAAGTTTTAAAAAATATGCTTATTTGAACTCTAAATAAAGAAATATTAAAAATAATAAAGTGGAATAAGAAGACCATTTCAATTTATGATCTCGATACCTTAGATCAAGATGATAATAACAATTATAATAACAATAATAATGACAATAATAAGGATAATAATAATAATAATGATGAAATAAAAACTAGTAGTAGAAAAAGAAAAAGAAAAGGAAGAGAAAAAGAAAAAGAAAAAGAATAAAAAATCTAAAAAAATAAAAAAAAATAATTAAATAGATTTAAACATAAACATTAAAAATAATTTATATAATAAATAGTATAATTAATAATATATAATATATATAACATATTTTATTTTATATTTTTTATTAATAAATAATATATTTTATTTATATTTTATAATAATAAATAAAAATATTGTTGACCCTAGTTGTCAAATCTTATTATTATTATATTTTTAGTTTATTCATTTATTATATTATTATTTTATTAGC